GAACCAAAACCTTTATCACTGATGTTGATTATCATAGTCACGCCTGCATGAGCACAGTGAACAAGCACCTATCATGAGCTTAGTCAGATATGGAGTCTGAATACTCCAGCCATTTCTCTTTTCTGAGCACTCTAAGGAAGCCAGTGGCTCCTTTGTAAATCAGGCTTCATGGCAAGATTGGCAACAGAAGAAATGACTCACAAGAAATAAAGGGTGAAGTTCAGCCACTCTTTTCCATTGGTGTTTAATAATAATAATAATAATATCACCCAAGTAGTTAAACACACATTTCATTCTGGACTCTTTAATAGTTGTTTTATGTGTGTGTGTGTGTGTGTGTGTGTGTGTAAACTACAGTGAGTTGTCTGTTATTGTTCCTATTTTCACATGAAGATACTGAGTCTCAGAGGTTTGTCCAAGTTCAAGTGGCTACTCGGTGTCTCCAACTGTTATCAGACTTTGAAAAATTAGGCCTGACTTTATTTTATTAACTTTCCAGTTTTTTTTAATTCCATGAAGATGTTATCTGTACCTGTAACTTTTTAGTACTAACTCATTGCTTTCTATTTTGTATAATACTGGTGTAAGTCCACCTTTAAAATCTTCCCAGTCTACCGTAAGTACCTCCAAGAATCTCTGCATGATTGCTGACCTAAGTCTCAGGAGTAGAAAATGTTTGTGAGTGAATGAACGAATGAATGAATGAATGCGTGTGAGGCTCACATGTCTAGTTGAAAGCCAACACCCGCCTCCTATGGGCAAGTCCAGACGTGTGGCGCTGGCTCAAACTCCAAAGCCGGTTTGCCACCAGTATGTCTATACAAACAGAATTAACTATCTTTTCACCTAAGTAGAAGAGAAAATTTTTAGAAAGACTTTCATGCCCAATTATAAAAGAAAATACATGCTGGTTGTAGAAGATCTAGAAAATGCAGAAAAATATAAATAAGAAAATAAAAATAACTCCATATTCTAGAGGTTTGTTTTCCCAATCATTGTTTTTAAAGACATTTATACACACACAATTTATATAGCTGGAATCATATGTAGTATTGTAGCCTTGTTTGTCACTTTCCAGTATGTCCTTTAAGATCTTTTTCAAAAGATACTTGTCTGTGGTCTCAGGCTGTTCCATCCTATGGAGGGACCATAATTTATTATTAGACATTTAGGTGCTGTCATTTTTTGCTATTATAAATAATGTTGTTATGAACATCTTTCTATATAAATCTTTGTGAGCACGGCCATCTGTCCGTTGGAGTCCCTTGATTGGTGACACATACCTGTGCTAACTGACATTCGACACGGGGAACTGAAGCTGTGCTCTATAACCTGTCAAGAAGACAAATAGGGTAACAGTGGCCTGTCTCACTTTTATAAAATGACATGGATACAACTATAATTTTGCAGGCCATTTGTTTGGTTAGAAGCTTGATGCCTCATTGATTCCATATGCAATGTATTCCAAAAGAATGAAGGTGACCTTAGAGACAGCCAGCCATTTAGAATCCAATTAATCAAGCTTCAGGATATTTGGTGCCCAACACCAACCAGAGACATCATGATCCATCAGATACTTGTGACTCAGAATTAGAATTTAGAAAGGGCTGTGGATTAGGTCTAGCTTGTGGATGCTCTTCTGGAAAGAACAGAAGAGCCCAGTCTTTAAAACTAAAGGAATGTCCATTGCGGGAGGCTTTTGTAAAAAAGAGGAAAAACAGTAACATATTCTCAAATTTAGTGAACTTTACTGAAGACTGTCAAAAGGGGAAATCTTTAGTTAAGCTTGAATGTCACCCCACCAGAGGACTGGAGTTTTAAAATCACAGTCTTAGAATTCTGCTTCCAGGACATCTGAGAGATATAGCATGTGAATTTATAAAGTTCTTTAAACTGGGGTTTTATTTATTTTGTCAATTTCTTGCAGAATCAACAAAAATTAAAATCCAAATATATAAAAAAAAGGACCCAGTTAGGTTTCCAGTTATGGAAGCTACAAGCATGAATGCTTAGTATTCATCTCCAATAGTCTAAGAGGATAAGCTTTTACCTTTGATCAGGAATTTATTTAATCTCCTAGGACAGTGTTGGACATTCTAGGTCCAAATTCCAGGTATTTAATATGCTTCAGTTTTGCTCTCTGCTTCATGATGACAATTTAATCTCCAGCTCTTAACATTGTACTAAATTGCTATATTAATATTAATATCAGAGTGTGAAAAATTCAACTGGTAAATGGTATGCAAATTAGCCTAATGCAAACTTTAGTGCACTCAAAAAATCCTTTGAAACAAAGGTAACTAAAGTGGTAAAAAGATCAACTAATCATCATTAAAGGGAAGATTGTTACAAGTAAAAGTAACATACTTCAAAGCAAACATGACTGATTTTAATCAAGCTGGTACAAACCTTTGATTATATTGTGGGGTGTAAACAGGAAACATTCCACCCCAGTCACGGTGCTATGGGTTGAATTGTATCTGCAAAAAAAAAAAGATATGTAGAAATCCGAGCCTCTGGTAGCTGCGAATGTGACCATATTTAGAGAAATATGGTCTTTGCAGATGTAATCCAATGAAGATGAGTTTGTTAGAGTGGGCTTCACCCAGCATGATTGCTGTCCTCAGAAGACAATACAAATTTGGGCAGATGGAAATGCACAGAAGGAAGACAATGAAGACAGCCTTGTCCTGATGGAGGCAGGAACTGGAGTGATGTGCCTTCAAGCCAAGGAACACCAAGGATTTCTGGCAAACACCAACAGCCAGAAGAGGCAAGGAAGAATTCTCTCCTCTGGGTTTCAGAGGGAACATGGCCCTACTGACACAGTGATTTCAGATTTCTGGCCTCTGGAACTGTGAGACAACTTATTTCTCTTGTTTTATGTCACCCAGTTTGTGGTACTTTGTTACGGCAGCCCTAGCAGACTAATACTCCTAGCTTTCACTTTGCTCTGCCAAATTCCATTTTTCTTTTTCTCTTGCCTTAATTAAATCTGGGAAAGATCACATAGATTTCTGGTCAGTTTCTCTTTTTAAAAGTTAGTCCAGTTTAAGTCTCCAATCTCCTATCCAATTGACATCTCGCCTCCTTCCCTGTCTCCAGTCAGCCAGGCTCACGCATCAGAGGGCTTGGGGTGGGGAAGGCAGGCGGGTTGCTCTGGCACCTTTCCAACCCCTCTTAGAGGTGATGGGGAGAGGCAGGTCTCATTCTGGGACATGCCCTCCATTTGCTGGGGCTGGGTCTCTGGTGCTGGAAGCAAGGAAGTGGACTAGGATAAATGGCAAGGGTTGTTTGCTATAACAGTCAATGATGGGGTGTCACCTTTGACTCATTCTTTCTGTGTTAAGGCGACCTCTATGTTTCCTTCGTTTGGTGTTTTGCTTTACTCCTACCTGCTCAGGTCCCCAGAACTTCCCATGAGCTAGAGTCTACCATGTCTCCTTTTGGTGCTTTCCACAGAATCGTGTCCAAGATGCAGAATGGCCTCAGAGTGACTGTCTTTCCTCTTCTCTGTGTCCTTCCTGAGGATCCACGAGAACCACCAACATCCTCTAATCTCTATGTCTTGGGACTCCGATGGAGAAACCTAGTCATGCCCCCTGTGAAAATGGTGAGGGCCTCTATCAACAACACCCTGCCTTCAGCACCCTCTAGGCAGGAAGTGGTCTCATGCTCAGGAAGGGAGAACCCTCCACCCCCACCCTCATCAGGATGCACACCTCCTAGAGACTCCTCCTGCAACCTGCTCACAGGCGTCAGCTCGAAGACTGCACAAGCATCCCACCAGCCAGCCGGGGGCAGTACCCGTATACTTGTTGCTGGTGCCCCACACCCTACAGAAGATTCTCCCGGGGCTTCAGTTGCCTGGCTTTGGTGGATACTTTCTGCATCCTCCTCCTTCTCCTGAGGGGAGGGAAAGGACTTAGGCAGAGAATAGGACTCTCTCTATGAACACTGAACACTTGGCTGTGGGTTCCCATGGCCTCCCTCCCTCTTCCCCTGGCCCCCCAGAAAGATGTGGGGCAGGTGTGAGATCTGGGGAGAGAAGCTCCAACTCAGTCCTGAGGAAAGATTCTTGATTCAGTTGAGGACATGGGAGTACTGAATGCCTCTTTGCTCTCAGATTTGAATTACTAACTGATCTCAAAACCTTAACCAGCCAATCTCCAAGCCTGTGAGTGGAAGGAGATTTCCTTCCTCTAAAACTCAATGGGATTCCCACCTAGTGGAAGGGGCCGTGCCTCTTTGCCCTCACTCTTTGTCTTGGGAGTGCTGCAGGCATGATGCTGACAAGATGGCACCACTTTTGTGAGATGGGAGGGGATGGCATGACCGGAAAAGATGGCTTACTGACTCCTGGGAAAATAAAAATTCCCACTCAATTGCTGTTACACCAGGAAAATGTTTCTGTTCCTAGGTTTTTTTCCTTCCTCTTACTTCTCCTTTGATATTGCAAGATGTTTTAGATTTTGCTAACATGTTATGACGAATGAGATGGAGAAGGAGTGACATTTAATGTGTCCACACCTGATGAGGGCGCGGCAAGTGGCTGTGCATCACGGCCCCCTTCCACTAGGTGGGATTCCATTGAGTTTTAGAGGAAGGAAATCTCCTTCCACTCACAGGCTTGGAGATTGGCTGGCTAAGGTTTTGAGATCAGTTAGTGAATCAAACAGAATGAGCTGTTGGATGACTCCACTTCTAAACTCTTTTCAAAATGTGACACTCCTGATGATCAGTACTACCTGGAAAGTTGTTAGAAAATCTCAGGCCCCGCCCCAGACCTACTGAACCAGAAACTGGGGGCAGCTTGCAGGCATGTGTATTAATTAGCAAGCACTCCAGGTGAGTCTGATGTACATCAGTATTGAGAACTGCTGTTCCAGAGATGCTCCTCTTCACCAATAAAATGGCATCCTAGCCTCTCTAAGAAATGAGTGTCTACTTGGTATGGCCTAACACAGAAGACATAATTTAATTTAAAAATTATTCCTTCACAATTTTCTGATGATTTTATTTTCCATCCATCACATACTTCAGCTCAAAAGCTTTGGGATGCGCTTTAGCTGAGGCAAGGAGAATCTTCTTTCCTAAGAGTATGGAACTCCAGAAGTTTAGTAACTGCCTTAAGGGAAGCAATTTCCACTTGTTTCCAATCATCCTTGCTGTGATGTTTATTACTATGAAGGGTTTCCTGGCATAAGATGACAGGACTCACCTCTTCTTGCCTTATTTTCTCCATAGCAATTATCATCATCAAACATACTATATATTTTATATGCTTATTTTATTTTTTGAATGTCTTCCTCCATGTGAATGTGGGCTTCATGAAGGCAAAGGATTTTGTCTTTTTATTCACTGCTAATTCCCCAGCATCTTAAACAGTACTTGGCACATTGTAGACATTCAGAATTATCTGTTGAATGAGTGCATGAAGAAAGGATGGGTTTCAAGAATGTGTTTTACAAGTTGTTGTAGGTTTCTGTTTATTGATTAATTGAAGACAGTTATGGTTTTTGTTCTTAATTCTATTTGTGAGAATGCTTAATATTATAGGCTTCATAAGGTCCTCAGAAGCCCCATCATTTTAGAGCAATGTGAACAGAAGAATTTACTGGATTGATATGAAAGAGTTGTTACCTGGGTGTACACTTCAGAACCTCATGGGTTGGAACTGGATAGGAAAGGCTAAGGCAGGAGAGGCAGGGTGAATAATTATATGAAAGTAACACAAAAGAATTCATGTCTAACCTCTGGGCACACCAGTCTGCTGTTTATAGGAGGATGCCCTTTTGTAGGAATTATTTTTGGACAGTAAATCTGTTTATCAGTAATTGTTTTAGGCTGAACACCTGCCAGGATACAGTATTTCCACTTTCCTGTTGGCACATCGTATAGCTCCTACTTCACAGATGCTCGCTGTTTTCTCACTCGATCCCATTTTGACGCAGTAGAGTTGGCTTCTACCCTTGGAGCACTGGGGAGGCAACAGGCAGACACATTTGGAAACAGAGGCTGAAACGAGAGGGAGGCAGTGTGACTCACCACAGTACCTCGGGGTTTGATTTTACCTAGTTTGTCCCCAGAGCAGCAGGCACTTTGGTGGCAATGTATTAGAAAGCTGGAAAAAAGGCAATGACCCAAAAGATCCAACTGTGGTCGAATGGAGTCATCTGGATGGAAGATACTAGAATGCACTGGTAAGCCAGTAAGATTCAGCAGCTGGGCTGTCTCTGACACCTCCCTCTTACTCACTGCCCGCATCCAATCAGTCACTACGTCCCGTCAATCCATTTCTGCAATGTCTTCTGTCTGTCCTTGCTGTTATTTCTCATTGGCACCACCCAAGAACATTTAGTTACCTTCTGTTGAGAAGATGCTATGAAGCCACATAATAAGCCAAGTGCTTTACGTGCTTTATTTCATTTAATCCTCACAACAAACATACAAACTCTATGTTATCATGCTCATTCTACACATGCGCTTATTAGTGAGCTTTAGTGATTGGCTCATGGTTCCACAATTAGTAAGTGGTAGAGGCAGGTTTGAGATCATAAATGACTCGTAGGCCTTAATTCTTTAACATAACTCTACACCACAGTTACTGATTTCTTTCTAGAATATTTCTGGGTGGGTGATTCTTTTATGAGGCCTGGTTTCAAAACCACCCAGTCACTTCATAATTCATATAAATCTTGCATTCATGAAATCATTTTAAAAATGATTACTTGAGATAAACTTACCAAAGCCAAGAATATTAAATAAATTTTGAGTAAAGGGATATGGGCTCATTTATACACATACATATTTTAATCAAAGGTCAAGGTCCTCTACAGTTTGACCTCAAAATCCCTTTGCAATGTGGTCTTTGTCTGCTTTGTCTGCTTTCTCCATTCCAGGTAGAGTAAGTCCCTCTCTGCTTCCCAAACAAGACCTCAAGGATGTTCTAGTTTTTGTCCTCTTGCCCATGCTATCCCCTTCTTTTGCTACGCTGATGTGCTCCCTCCTACTTTCCCCCACATGTCCAGTTTCTATAGGTCTTACGTCCTCCATGAAGCATTTCATAGGAACTTATCCCCATACCAACTAAACTTTAACTAAAGTTTTAATTAAACTTTAATAGTGTAAATTTGTTAGTACTATATCTGACATTTTTATACTTTCTTGTTAGTTAGCTTTTCATATATGTCTTTCTCTCAAGACAGTTATAAGTGGTTTGTTTGAGAGCTCATTCATCTCTATGTCCCATTTACCTCTTAAAGAGGTGCTCAATTAATTCAGCTTCATCAATTGATTTTTTTTAAAGATTTTATTTATTTATTTGAGAGAGAGAGAGAATGAAAGAGAGAGAAAGCATGAGAGGAGGGAGGGTCAGAGGGAAAAGCAGACTCCCCGTTGAGGAGGGAGCCCGATGTGGGACTTGATCCTGGGACTCCAGGATCATGACCTGAGCCAAAGGCAGTTGCTTAACCAACTGAGCCACCCACGCACCTCATCACTTGATTTCAATTCTGAATTTGGGATATAGGTGTAAGTATTCAAAAAGAAATGTATTGATAGATCTGGGATAATTCTTGTTGCCAAAATATCTGAGTCAGACTGAGAATCAGCAATGATGTCATTAAGAAGTAGCTTCTTTAGGCAGATATCAGTTCTTTCCCATGTGTCTCAACCAATGGGAGAAAATAGGGAAAAGAAGTGGGGAGATACTCATAGGCATGTAGACTTCCTGTCTTTGGTAGAAAACATTTCATGAAAGAGCATGCATTCCCTTGTAAGCCCTCTGTCAACAGCTAGAGAAGATGCTAGTTGTGGAAGGTCTTGCTCATTGTTGTAAACAACGGGGTTTAGTGAAGGACACAAGATTGTTCCACCTCTGGAGAGGATGTCCACTCCCTGGGCTTTTGGAAAGGCCATGGTCACCATTCTTTTAGGATGGTTATGGCTTAAATGCTCTTAGCAAGATTATTTTTAGACTACCAGCACCAAAAGGCCCTTCCCACCACCTCTACTAATGCATCCTTCAGCACTCAATTCTTATGCTACCATCCTTATGAAACCCTTCCAGGCCAGAAGATTTTTATCTCTCTCACAGTTCTTATTACATACTGGCTTGTATTAAAGTTATTCATGCAATTATCATGAAAAGTTACTCCTTCAGTTACTATGAACAATTTGAAGGTACAAATCTCCTTTATCTTCAGAGTCCTCATCATACCTTGTACAGTGACTTCCACATCTTGGATACTAAATGGACGTGTGCTGAATAAATTTCCCCCTTCTATTAGTTGACGGTGGATATTTTTGAAATTTAGGCAAAGCATTCAGTGTCCATAAAAATAGGCTCCTTAAGAAGCCATTCGTGTTCTAATTTTTGAAAAGTGAACTTAATGTTATTTTGAAGTTCCATTTTAAACTTTCTCTTATTTCATTTTAGATAGAGAAGGAAAAGAGTAGCAAAGTACACAATGTAATCAAGAACACAGTTTAACCAAGGTGACCTTCAATTCAGCTCAAAATTAATAATATCCCAACTTGCCATGAGTGGGTTGGGTACAAAATTCATTTTTAGCTTTCTCTTTCTTCATAAATGCTGTGATTTGTACACTGATGCTCTTCTATAGTGCTACTGAACAGACTTCTCTGTGACATTGACTTTTGCTCACCAATTAGAGAAGACTGGCCCAGGCAGACCATACCTTTAGGGGGAAAAATGCTTTCAGTATTCTGATTGTGTGCAGGATCAAAGAATCTTTTAAATGACTTAAATCTCTTATTACAAAATGTTCACATATTAGTTTGACTACCCCAAGACATTCTGCTAACTTGAGCAATATTGATTAAATATTCAAACTTTTCAGTGTTCTTTTTTAAGACAAACTTAGACTCCTGGAGACTGTAGGATTTAGATATATGTACAGCAAAGAGCTAATAGTAAAGGCAGATTTTGATGAAATTGTAAGCTAGAAATTATTTGCTACTCAGACAGATCTGAAAAGAATAACTTGTGGAAAAATAGCGAAAACAACTCTTTGCTATAGAAGGTTCCATGAAGACCTTTTCTCCATGATAAATATGGAAGGATGGAAACTAACACTAAATACATCCCCAAATACCTGATCTACCTATTATAGCACAGACAGGGACCATTTTATCCTGTTTCCTTTTATCTTCTGTGTGCATTTTTGACAATAATGTTCCTACACTACAATTTTCAAAGAAAAAGTTTATATTTTAAATACAAAATGATATTCCATAATACTTTCAGCTCTTTTCTACCACAAATATTTCTTTTTTTTTTTTAAAGATTTTATTTATTTATTTATTTGAGAGAGAGAATGAGATAGAGAGAGCATGAGAGGGGGGAGGGTCAGAGGGAGAAGCAGACTCCCCGCTGAGCAGGGAGCCCGATGCGGGACTCGATCCCGGGACTCCAGGATCATGACCTGAGCCGAAGGCAGTCGCTTAACCAACTGAGCCACCCAGGCGCCCCCCCACAAATATTATTTCTAAGAGACATGTCAGTTGAGTAATGGTGTTGGTCCGGCAACGAAAAATGAGTAGTAGAGTTTTGCTATAAGATGATTTGATACTGATCAGAATTGGGCAACTTACAGAAAATAGAAATGTAATGCCACTTCCTGAGTATCAAATTGACAGAGAAATAAAGGAGTAATTACTCCAAGCATTGGTGAAAGTATGGAAGGCAGTCTTAATTATACATTGTAGATAGGAAATATGGTAAGAACATTTCTGGAAAGCAAGTTGATACACAGTACCAACAAAGACTTTATATTTGGAAATAATATTTACCTGGAAATTTCATTTTCTAAGGTATATCCTAAGGAAATAATCTTAGATTAAAGATTTATGTGTGATAGATTTGTCTATTACAGCACTGTTTGTAATAGCAAAATATTGGGAAAAATCTAAACACTTAACAGACGATTAGCGAAATAAATTACAGAATGTCCAATAGGCTTTGGCAGACATTGAAAATTATGTAGCAGAGTAATATATAATGACATGAAAATAGTTTCATGATATATTAAGTGAAAACAGCAATATGTAAAATAAGATGTAAAGGATGATACTTTTTTTAAAAAAAATTGTAATATAATCAGCGCCACCCCTGAGATATATAAGACCCTGGGAATTTTTTTTTTTTAATGAGATACCTCTCTATATAAACAAGTACAGTCACTCTGAATTAGAGTGTCAGCACCATACTAGCAGTCCAATCTCAAGCAATCTTGGCAAAGAATACCCTGCTGGCTGGTGGCTCACCAGGCTGCTTTCTGGGAATGAGGGTCTGGCTCTGAGCCATGGATGACTCTACAGGCATGAGACCCGGAGCTCTTTGGAACAGTTTGTTGACCCCATGCATGGTGAAAGAGAAGGAGTATAAGGTCAGAGAATGTTCCACAAGGGAGAAACAGTGCCTGAGCCCATGAGAAACCCCAGTCTGGGCTCAGAGTATCCTACCTGATTAACACTGCCAGCCTTGGCTAGTCCCAGGCACTGCAAGAGGACTTAAAAAATTTTGAATAAGATGCTTCTGGCAATTAGTATCCATGAGGAATTCAGTTTAGGCTCAGGGCACTCTAGCTACATTGTCCTAGCCAGTCCCAAATGCCAGAGGAAAACTTAGACAATTCTGATGAAGGCCCTCCAAAGCTGGGGGTGGGGAATGGTGCCTGAAGTATGAGACTGGGACAGGTGATTTTCTACTGGAGTCTAAGGCTAGTACTGATTGTATATGCATTGAAAAATAATTAGGAAGATTCACCCTAAAATTATGAAAGTAGTTATTTCTAACAGTGGGTGGGTTATGTTTTTTCCTTTCTATTTAAATAACTTTATAAAATTTTTTACGATGTAAAGGAATTATTTTTGATTAAGGTTTTTGTTTTATTTCGTTTTTAGAAAGAGTATAAATGCAAGTAAGATGAACTAGCTGCGATGAAGGTTATGTGTGAGCATTTCTAGTACGTGGTCACCACTGGAGCTTACCTGAACATTTTTCCCAGTCGTAGCAGGTATCATAGCCACAGGATTCTTTCTTTGTGCTATTGGATGAAAGTTTTCTCCTCTCAAGACCCCATTCTAGCTGTGGACCATCTTGGCAGGAGCCAATATGTAGAAAATGGAGTTGCTGATTATTTAAACATTTCTCTGCCAAAAACTTACAAGCAGATGAAGTAAAGTAATGGCTGGTGTCTGTATCAAACACACAGAGATCTTCTGAATAATGGCTGCCCAAGAGAGGAAAGCAAATATTTATATATGAAGACTAGAAAAAAAGAGATGGCAGGCAGTCAATATAATATGTAAACTTACCACCCAGTTTTCTTCCCCCGCTCCCCCCTGCCCCCAGCTTCTCTTCTTTCAGTTCTTCATCTCATTTTACATGCTCTGCAGTTCATGTTTCTAAAATTTCATCTTAATCTTGGTTTTTCCCAATTGTCTTTGAATCAAAGTCTGAATTCTAAAATTCTGGTAATCAAGATCCTCCACAATTTGACTCCAATTAACTTTCCTTTCTAGAATTATTTCCCTTTCCTTCCTAATCTCTATCACCTGACAATTGTATTGATAATTTTTGAAAATTATAAGATTACTTCTCCTTTGCTGGCATCCCATGCTCTACTCAATCATCTTTGCATTGTCTTTCTTCTCTGCCTATGTGTGTCCAGTTCAATTCCTGGCTACACTTTGAAGCTAACCCCTGGTCAAACTGGTCCATGTAGTCTGTACTGCCTCAGAACTCTGTAATACTCAGTAATCGCAACACTAGAGTCTTATATCATTACATAGCTTTGCAAATGTACTGTGATTGAGTGCATGAGCTTTTATGTCATTCCCTGGGTAACTTGCTTAATCTCCCTAAGTAGATGATGGGTCCTGCTCCCAAGAGGTAACCAGTGGCCACAGTCCTTCTTTTGCTGAGAGGATAAAAGGTCCTTGATTATTCTAAATTTGAGTTTCTTCTCAGATGTCAGTTTTAGAGTTCACAATCAGGGCATCAGTGTGTAAATTTATCTCCAGGAAGTAAAGGCCTCTCTCTATGTGCAGAGAACTTAAGCTGTAGGGCCAGTTGCTTCTCACAAACACCTTCAATGCTGTGTGAAGGAGAACTGAGGACTACAGAAAGAGGCTAGAGAGGTAGGGAAGAGCTGAAACTCAGTTCCAGAGGACAGTCTGCATTCTCACAATTTGGTATTGCAAAGATAAAGGTTCCCTCTGCGTTAAATGGGCACTATGAGTGTTGCACATATTCCCCAGAAGGCCTGGATGAGGAGACTCCAGCAGCAAGAAGTTTCATGGAGGACCACTTCTGGTGAAGACTGAGGGGTGTAGAGAGGACCACCTTTGTGCTGAATTATATTTGTGGAATTATACAGAAAAATACCCTAGAATTTTCCTAAATAAGTAAGAAGTCCCTATAAGTGTTTGTTCACCTGGAGCACGGAGGAACATGAGAGCTACTTAGTGTTAAAAGTGAAGGGTAACTGGGCACAGTCTGTTGTCTTCCTATCCCAATGTTCAGTCTTTCTCCTCCTCAGTCATAGGACTCTAACTTTATTCATAGGGCCTATGCATCCAGCCAAAGAACTGCACTTCATAGCCTCCCTTGAAAGTACATGTGGCCTTATGGATAAGCAAAGGTTAATGAGATGGAAGTGAGTGAAGGGTCTTACAAGAATTTGCCTTAAAAAGAGGGAAAATGTCCATTGTTGATCTTCTCCCTTCCTGCTCCTGCAGAGCGATCTCGGACCATGAAATAACTTTAAGGACGGTAGAACAAGAGCAGGAATGAGCCTCAGTCCTACCTGCAATGAGAGAGTCGCCATACCAGCCCTAGATTGCCTACCTCTGCATTTATTTTGTGAGATAGAGAAACAAAATTTTATCTTCAGCTAACACTGTTTTGAATTAAATTCAATTGCAAGTAGCCCTTAAATTAAGAAGCACTCTTGACTGTCCTCAGTTTGTTCACATAAAGAAAATGCAGTTAGGGGCGCCTGGCTGGCTCAGTCAGAAGAACTGACTCTTGATCTCGGGGTTGTGAGTTTGATCCCCACATTGGGTGTAGAGATTATTTAAAAAAATATAAGGCAGTTATAACAACAAAAAGGAGGTAGCTGTCTAGTCATGGCAGTCAGAGGGGGATGTATCATTTTCATTCTTCATTCTCTCTACCCCAGCATGAAAAAATAAACTGACAAAGGGGTGTGTATATGTGTGAAGTCTGTGCTCATACTACTGTCTCTATTCTAAGCTTTTGGAGTCATAACCTTGCCCTGTGTGTAGGGGGAAGAGGAAGGCTTTGAGATAATTGAGTCTGAAACCCATTATGGACAGGAATAAGTCTTCATGAACAAAACTGAAAGTTTCTTAATAAACAAATGCCATGCAAACTTAGGGAATGGGGCTGAGAGATAATTAAGAAAGCTTGCTACCCTGTGGGGAAGAAATCAACACAGCACAGGGGGTATTAGTTATGTGAAAAATTAATATGTTTCGTGTTTGTGCTTCAAGAAGCTCAGCTCCTCTATCAAGCTGGTTACACTAGACTGGTTTTCCCATTTTCCAAATACAGTCCATAGAGTATCTCTCACCTACAGTCTTCTTCTGGAGACATGCAAATGCATTCAGATCCCAACTGTTTTTGTCCTGGTTGACAATGGCCCTTTAATTTTGTCAAAACATCTGAAACAAAAGAAAAGGGGTAAAGAAGAGTGCACAGCATGTATTCCAAGTGGCAAGTTTGGACTTAGGAGGAAAGGCAGTGGTGAAAAGTTCTCACTTATCACCTGCAGTCCGGGCATTCATTTTGCCTTTTCCAAATATGCTGTCATGAAATATTCCAACTGAAAAGTCCTTTCTAGCTCTCATGAGCTGTCATTTTCCAACCTAAAATTGCTGTTAAGTTCAGAGAACTGAAGAGAATGGAATTGGTGAAATTTCTGTTCATTTGTTCTTCAAATATTTACTGGGCGACTAAGATACTCTCAGCACTGTGTTAGGTTCTGGAAATAGTGGATTGAGTAAAATTTCACCCAGATTCTATGCTCACAGAGCTTAGAGTTTTGTGAGGGCAGAGTGACATTAATCAAACACACGCATACAAATAGAATTGCTCATGTTATTCGTGCTATTAGAGAGAAAGCATATAATCAAGAAAACTGACGTGAGGAAGGCTAGGACTGGGAAAATGTTTGCAGCAGAGGAACCATCAGGCGTGGAAGTTCAAAAGAGAGGCAGCATGTGATTTTCCTGGAACTGCAAGAAGGCCCTTGTGGTTTAAGTGCAGAAAAACAAGAGCATGGAACAAGATGAGGCCAAGAGAGGTGAGTGTGTGTCAGGCTGTGTGGGGGCTTACAGCACTTTTGAAAGATTTTTGCCTTTATTTTATAAACAATGAAAAGTCTTCAGTGGGTTTTAAACAGGGGGTCATAGGACAAAATCAGGTCTGGATTCTGAAAAAGAAATTAATTCTGGCTTCTGTGTGGAGAATGGATTTGCTGAAGAGGCACGGTGGCCAAGAAGGCTACGGGTAGACAATCTATGAGATGATTATAGTAGTTCAGGTGAGAGAGGATGGTAATTTGGACCAAAATGTTGAGTTGGAAATGGAGAGAAGTAGATAAGTCTGTGACATATTTAGCAGGTTAAATGGATGAAATTGCATATTGTGGGTAAGCTGTGAGAGCTGCAAAGTATGATTCTTAGGTTTCTGGCTTGCATTAGACAATGGACTTTGGTGCCTTAACTGAAATAGAAAATATTATAAGATGCTTAGTTTTAGGGAGGCAAGGGTAATGACTTAAGAGTTCTTCTCTGCATATGTTAAATTTATGGTATCTTTAATTTCTTTTTTAAAAAAGATTTTATTTATTTAATTAATTAATTTATTTGAGAGACAGAGTGCACAAACAGGGGGAGCAGCAGGTAGAGGGAGAAGTAGGCTCTTTGCTATGAAAGGAGCCCGCTGTGGGACTTGATCCCAGGACCCCGGGATCATGACCTGAGCTGAAGGCAGAGCTTAACTGACTGAGCCACCCAGGCATTCCTAAATTTATGGTATCTTTAAGACACTCAAACAAACTAGATCAAACCAGATACATAAAAATGTGGCTATTTGGGTTTAAGCTCAGCGGAGAAGTCTGTGCTAATGAATTAAATTTGTTATTATTCTTTGGGGACTCCTTGAAGCCATGGGTGTGGGTGAGATTCCCCAGCAGGAAAATGTAGCATAAGGTGAGGGGACAGATATGAGCCTGAAGAACTCCAACATTTAACGTCCAAGCACAGGCAGGAGGCTGCCAAAAACAGAGAGCAACAGCCAGAGAGGTGGAAGCTAAACAAGATGATGTTGTATACTGGGAGCCACAGAAAGAATAGGAAGAGGAAGGTCAACACTGTTGGATGTTCCTAAGAGGTCAAAGGAGATGAGGATAAAATAATATCCATTACTTTTAGCAGTACAGATGTCAGTGACGATGGTGAAAATTGTTCTTTTGGGCTAATGCCTCGAAAGTCAGATTTTCTTACAAGAAGAATCCATGGAGTAATGCAACTCTTAAACGGAGCTGTTTATCCCTGCATGATATTCTAGGCACTAGTATGTTATGGTGGGAAAAAAAAACATAGAAAGAATGAAAACAAGAGTGGTCCCTTGTTTTGCATGAATGTAAAGGACATTGTGAAAACAGACATCAATCAAATAATCATAGTAATGGTTTTTTTTTTTTTAAGATTTTATTTATTTGACAGAGAGAGACACAGCGAGAGAGGGAACACAAGCAGGGGGAGTGGGAGAGGGAGAAGCAGGCC